AGCTGCTCCGTTGTTTTGAAGCTATGCTGATCGTTGCTGCAGTCTTCTGGGGGGAAAATGGTTGGCAGGATTAGGCTTTGTAGAATATAAATGACCATATAGATATATTTAGTATTAATATAAGTGCCTGTATCAACGGCAAGCTGGATCACTTAATCAGACTAGCAGCAATTAAAATGGTAATTTTTCTGTACTGGATTCTACTTGCAATTTTTGCTCAAGTAAAACTCTTTGAAGTTAATTGGAAATTTGATTAAAGGCTCCTGGATCTGGGTCTGTGAATTTGTACTAAGGAAGGTTCAATATTTGCTTTGGCTTCTTGCACATGGAGTTCACTGTTATATATTAGTGCAACTGTACAAGCAGTCGTAACAAGAATATCTCCCATAAAGATTTCTGTAATCTAGTTCTTGAAATACTGTTGTCTTTTATCACAGAATGGCTTTTAAAGTACTGTTGAAACAGGCTTGAAGACCTGAAAAAATATAATTGCTTAAATTGTTTGTCTTAATTATTTCTGGTCCCCTAAGTGACTTTGTTACATTCACTTACCAGTAATTCAAACGTTTGGACAGAGCGGAAGGCGAGAGATGTTCTTGCTCTTTGCCATTAAGAGTTCGGCTTCTGGCTGTCAAATCAGGAAAACTATTTTAATTACATTATAACCATTTTTAGAGAGACGAGTAACTGTGCTGCAATAACAGCTTTAAAAAGTAACATTCTTGTCTAAAGAGACTTCTGTGAAATACAGAAATGGTCAGACTATTGCTAGATACTTAATAGCATTTTCAGAAAAAAAATGAAACAAGGCAGGGACAGTACGGAAAAGCACTTAAAAAGGCAGGCAAGCGTTCTCTTTGAAATAGCCCTTAATTACAGAGATAAATTTCACTGAAGTCAGTATAACTTAACTGCATGTGAGAATAACAACTACTAGAATGAATGTGGACTGCGGGCTCAGCTTCTACACTGCCGGCAGCATCTCCCAGCAAACAAGCAATGCACATTTTTGTCATGTCTCGGGATCTGCCGGGAACTTTTGCTGCATGCTGATGTCATCTTGTGGCCAGAATTTATCAGACATCCTTGCAGGCAGTGCCATTTTTCAAGAGCTATGACATAACTGATTCAAATGGCTGCTTAAACTTAATTTTGGTCAGTTGTGGAGGTATAGAAGGGAAAGGGAAAAGCAAGAAGAAAGAAGGAAATAATTGTGCAGGAGTTGAACCGATGTTATCAAGAATGTGAATTTTTATCGTATGTGTTTATAGGAAAAGCTTGTGATCAAAATGTCTTTTTTTCCTTTTGGGAATCATTTTTAGTAATCAATAATAAAACATTGCTTTAATTTTGGAAAGAAATATGTATATTTTTACTTTAAAAAGAAAAGCATTACATATCAGGTTGTAATTTTCCTATACTAAAAAGTGTAGCAGGCATCAATACTGCTTAAAAAAAAAAAAAAAAAAAAAAAAAAGTTCACTTGCTCTGGTAGTGGGATTTTTTCCTCTTTTGTTTCAACCTGGTCAAAGAAGTAAAGTTTTGTACATTTTCCAGTCCAGCACTGGAAAGGGATTAAATGCAGATTGCTGCAATTCAGAGACATGCTTTTATTTTCTCTTCTTTTCCTTGAAACTTTTAACATGAGATACGGACTAAACTTCATACTATTTTTCTCTGTTCCTTTTGAAACATGGAAACATAATATAAGAAAAGAATGATTTAAAAAAAAACTAGAAATGTATTTATTTTTACAATACAGTTCAGAAATACTGAATATCCAATGACAGTGCTATTACAGAGCCAAAAATTCGTTATAACCTGTTAGGTCTATTTAATGGTTAGCCCAACGGTTATAATTCTCAGCAGTGAACTTTGAGCAGGTTGTTCTTAAATGGCCACAGTAAGAATAAGGACTCTGACGATTACTTCGTCCACAAGAAAGAAGATCAAAAATGTTTTGTGAAAATGAAAGCTGTAGAACTGACTAAAATGTATTAATTTGCTCTCATAGATTTTTCTCTATTTTTTGCCATTTCTAGTCAGCTCAAACCCTTCTCAAACTTTGTATACAAGAAGCACCCGTAGCTATGTAGTCTTTGCAAGGAAGCAGTTCAGCACAGATGTGGAGAAAAGATGGATAAAGACATAGAAATATGTCCCTGCTCTGATGGAACATGTCCTAGCAGACCTTAAAATACAGTCTACCATTGGTCTGCAAGTAAAAATACTTTTCTGTGTAGTAGATCAATGTGCAGATGAGCTTAGATCTCAGTGCAAATCTACTCACGATGTTCCTGTTTTCTTGTGTCTTACCTAAATAAGTCTTTGCCACCTTGCCAAGGTGGCCTTAGGATCTGCCTGTTTCAAGGTGATGTTAAGCATCTAGATCTGCGTTACATCCATGAAATCCCTCATGTTGAAGTGAATGCCCAGAGAGACGAAGCGTGAAGTTTACATGCTGGGTCTTCCCTACATCCCTCCATGCTCCCTGCTTCTAGCACAGGGACACTTGTCTTGTGGTGGTTTCTCATCCACCACCAAGGACAGATGGTTGCTGAGGAGCATTTTTGTGAAAACACTTGCACACATCGCTACTTGGCGAGTGCCAGAGACTTACAAGACAGAGGAAGGCACGTTTTCCAGGTGCCAGAAGGAGGCTTTGGTGGCCTCCAGCCCCTGGAGGAGCTCACTCAGTGGCCTGGGAAAGACCCCGGCAGGGCTCCAGCTCCTGCGAAGGCGGGACTTGTGCCAGAGCCAGCAGAGCCAAACAGTCACTTGCAGCCTTGGTCGCAAGAGGGTGGACTTTGGCTGGCCACA